CTTTCATGACTACATCTCGCTATTACTCACGTGTGTCAGGGCCGCCCGGTGATGCCTCATTCTGAAAACAATTACATGGTCGACCTTTTGATTTGTGAAGATGATTTTTTGGCAACCCAGAGATATATTGATAATTTTTTCTTTGTTTTCATTGTTAGGTTAAATTAAGGGAGATTAGTTGAGGAAAACATTCAGGATTTGGGATGTGGATTCTTGTGTAGAGGTTAGTTGTGTAGAGGTTAGTTCGGGTTTGTTTATACTTTTGATGTGAGTGTTATGATCTCTCACTGCCGAAGGATCTTATTCAGGAAGAACTTGATCGGGATAAAGAATGAAAATTTAGTTATGGGACAAAAAAGTTTAATAAGATACCAAAAAACTTGATTGAATAGCAAAAATAAAAATGAAAGAAAGAAAAATTATCTGACTAAAAGGTCCATAATAGACAATGTGAGTTAAATTTATATAATGGTTGTAAGGGAGGAGACAGCCCACAGTGTTAGCGAAGACTGACTCTTCATGTGTTACCTATTTCCTTAGAGCTCAGCCTCGCCCGCCCCCACAAGGCCCACCTCACTCTACCTGCCCGGGGACAGGGTGAGTGTATACACCATCACCACCACACGTAAACTGTCTTCTCACCTCCTAGATATAACACTATAGTCATCACCATCCTTACTACAACTACAGTGTTTATGTTTACATCCGGGGAGTGTAATCTGCGCACGACGGATGGCCATTGGGTGGTTGGTAGAATGGCTGTGCTTGCTGACGTCATCTTGTATGTAAACACACCTTAATATGATAATTTATTCACTTTTCTATCTTTTCGCGATTTTCATATAAGATAATTCAATACTTGATTCGCTTCACCAATCGAGCCACAGCATGAAGGAAAGATATTCCCTTTTATGTGAGTCGTATTTATAGTTATATCAGTTGTCAACACTGTAAAGCGACACCTTTACAGAGTGGCTCATTAAGGGTGTGTATAGCAACGATTGGGAATGATGCCAATGGTAATTTAATCTTGATACTTGATAACGTTTAAAGGTGGTAACGGAGGAAGAGTTTGTCAGTGTGTGTGTGTGTGTGTGTGTGTGTGTGTGTGTGTGTGTGTGTGTGTAAAGGTCCTTCTGCCAACTACCACACTCAGACGCCACAATGTACTCCCCTACACTCACTTTACAAACAGTTAGTTCCTTCTGACTGTCTGTTGACTGACATAAACTGTAGTTAACACCCACATGAACCTACGACAACAGGTAGAGAGTGTGTGTGTGTGTGCGAACTGCTGCCTTGCAAACAGGATGATCGAAAAGTCTCTGTGCACCTGTGATGATTAATGCTGTGTTTATTCACCTTGCTCTACTTGAAGTAAATATTGGAAATAGTTATAGTAAAGGTTTAAAATGATCTCTACGGATATATACATGTGTTCACTCATCTTGTTTAGTTTATAGATAGATATTCAAGGTCAAGTTACGTGATGGTGTGGATGACCTTGGTTATGGCTGCCTTACTCCAGGTGCACAGGGACTTTTCGCTCACCTTGTAGTTCCACCCTTCACGAGGACTTACAAACAGGGCGTGACTCTTTACCTTAAGATAGTGTTACCAGACTCGGCTTATGTTACTAAAGCTGTTTAACGTTACTCTGAGGTCAAACAGTCGTTATTAGTACACCCTATCATAGTAACGAATATGTTACTACTACTATTACGTGTTACTACTGAGTGTTACGCGCTACCGAGACTTTTGCATTACCAATTATTAATCTCTGGAATATAACAATAACTCACAATCAGCTGTAACTGTTACTAAGGCTACTGTGTTACACTCCCAGACGTTACGAACGTCCCACAAGTTACTTGTAACACTCACGTCGGTAACAGTGTGTGGTAACGCTGCTTTATTAATCTACCGAATTCTCTGATTTTACAGGAATTTAATTAATTATTTTTATCAGTGTGTCTTTAACGTAACAAGATAATGGCCATTTAACAAGAAATTGGCCACTTAAGAAGATATTGGCCACTTAACAAGATACTGGCCATTTAACAAGATATTGACCACTTAACAAGATATTGGCCACTTAACAAGTTACTGGTCACTTTAAGATATTGGCCACTTAACAAGATAATGGCCACCTAACAAGATATTGGCCACTTAACAAAATACTGGTCACTTAACAAAATAATGGTCACTTAATAAGATATTTACCACTTAACAAAATAATGGTCACTTAATAAGATATTACCACTTAACAAAATACTGGCCACTTCACAAGATATTGGCCACTTAACAAGACACTGGCCACTTAACAAAATTCTGGCCACTGTAACTTAACACGATAACACTATTACCAATAATTTGTATAGCAGTAATTTATAAGTTATTGAAACAAATAAGATAACTTTAGCTGTTAATTATATTATTATTATTAAACAAAACTTTATTTACTACTTCCAATTATCAGTATTTTAAAATTATTATTAAATTTTGTTTTTTAAGATTATATGTAATTTTCTTGTTAATCTGTCAATATATTTCATAATGGTGGATATATTTTACTTATCGGGAGAGGTGAAAAATATTTGTATGGCTGAGGTGATATATATCTTTAAAGACCGTGCAACCGAGGTAAGACATATGTGTAAGACTGAGACATATGGATAAGACTGAGAATGAGGTAAGACATATGTGTAAGACTGAGACATATGGATAAGACTGAGACTGAGGTAAGACACATGTATAAGACTGAGACTGAGGTAAGACATGTATAAGACTGAGACTGAGGTAAGACATGTATAAGACTGAGACTGAGGTAAGACATGTATAAGACTGAGACTGAGGTAAGACATGTATAAGACTGAGACTGAGGTAAGACATATGTGTAAGACTGAGACATATGTATAAGACTGAGACTGAGGTAAGACATATGTGTAAGACTGAGACA